CTTGGGAGGTTGAGGCAGGACAATCACTTGAGCCCAGGAGTTGGAAGTTATAGTGAACTATGATGATGTCACTGCAAAAAGTCCCTTTACTGTCTTTTGAGTGGGATTTTAGTCAGAGAACAGAAATTTCACCTCCTATGCTTAATGGAAGTTTCTTGATTATCCTAACCACCTGAGGTAGATAGGCTGAACCAGTGGTGGGTTATGGTTTCTGAGACCCAGAGGGTGCCTGAGGTCACACAACTGGGAAGTGATTAAGCCCAGATTTGAATTCTAGTTCCAGACTCTGGTATATTGGTAGCACTATGACCCAGTCTATTTAAGTTAGTTACCCATGTTCTTCTGAAATATATATTCAAACTTTTTAAATTTTAGCTTATCTTAGAAATGAAAACACAGGCTCAGTGCCTGTAGCTCAAAGGCTAGGGTGCCAGCCACATACACTGGAGCTGGTGGGTTCGAATCCAGCCCAGGCCTGCCAAATAGCAATGACGACTACAACCAATAAATAGCCGGCCATTGTGGCAGGCACCTGTAGTGCCCAAGAGTTTGAGATTGCTGTGACCTGTGATGCCATGGCACTATACCCAGGGGGACATAGTGAGACTCTGTCTCAAAAAAAAAAAAAAAAAAAAAAAAAAAAAGCACAGGCATTTTTATAATTTCATTGGAGAAATTCCATGAAAGCATATCTGATTGTCTCACTAGTTGGCCATCTTATCTTATTCTTTCTCTCACACTTGGGTTTGAGTAAGTAAGCATTGTCCTTGCATCCTTTTTTTTTTTTTTTTTTGGAAAGAATCTCAATTTGTTGCTCTCAGTGGAGTGCCATGGCGTCACAGCTCACAGCAACCTCAAATTCTTGGGCTTAAGCGATTCTCTTGGCTCATCCTCCCAAGTAGCTTGGGACTACAGGCATGAGCTATAGCACCCAGCTATTTTGAGAGACAGGGTCTCACTCTGGCTCAGGCTGGTCTTGAACCTATGAGCTCAAGCAGTCTCCCCACCTCCCCCCCTTGGCCTCCCAGAGTGCTAGGATTACAGACATGAGCCACCACACCGGGCCATCTTGCATCTTCCTTTAAACATTCCAGAAACCAAAGGCTGGCGTGCAATAAACAGTATATAAGGTGACACACTTGGCATCTTTCAGACCAGAGTTCTTATTTCTGCACTGCCTTCTTTCACAGTGTGCCTTTGGGCCTGTTTCTTAGCTCCTCTGGGCTTCTGTTTTCCTCTATGTAATAAGGAGATAGAATAATACCTTTCACCAGTGTTGATGTGAGGATTAAATCAACTCACAGATGTAAAATGCATTACATGGGCACAAATGTGTAAAAGATTTAGCTATTACTGTTCTGCCTTAAGTCAGTGTGAACTGTGCTCTAAGGGAGATGTCCAGGAGGGCGCCTGTGAGGACTGGCCCCATGGGAGGAACTTAGGATGTTCTCCGTGGGATTGTGCCAGGGTGGTGATTCCTAACCTGGCTGTGTATTACAGTCACCTGTGAACATGTGGGCCTTATGGACACGTGAGAGAACGCGATTCAGCCTTTGCTGGATGAGGCGTGGCCTCTGTGTATATCACAGATGCCATGGATGCCCCTAGTTTGGCCTTTTTGCCAACTGGGCCTATGACTGGCCCTCACCATTGAGCTGTGCTGAACTGTGGTCTCGATAAACAAAACTGTCAGAGCTGAGCTGAGCAATTTGTGTTAATTATTCTGCTTAGCTTTCAGTATTTTTGCAGATTGCTTTTTAGTGTTTTGAAAACCTCACAGGCTACTAGGGAACAACCTAGTTACTAGGTAATAACCTAGGTTACTAGACCTCACACAGGAAAGTAGTTTTCTCCTTTTTAAGGTGTTGAGGCGGAGACCAGCTCTGAAAGCAGAAACTTCAGGGGTAGATAGAGGTCTGGCCCATGTGTGTAACTGAGGGTTTGGTATTATACTATCACCTGGTCTGGGAGACCCTGTGCAGGTGTGGCCATGGCATAAATCACCAAGGTGTGTTCCCCCTGTTCTCCTGAACTGTCCCCCTCAGCAGGAAGGTACAAGAAAGATCCTGTGCATTCATTCTCTTGAGTCTAAGCTTCTTGGGGCAGGGGTTAGGTCAATTTTTATTGTATTTCCTCAGGTCCATGATCCTGCTCTTAGGCAATGTTCAACTGTGCTGAGTACTCACTCAGTGTCAACTGTCATCATTCATTATTCCTGCATGTGTGTTGGTGGAGGAGGTGTTGTCGGTTTGTGGAAAGAATCTCCTATAATGTAGACTTTGGGCGTTCTAGCCCTGTGCAAACTGGGCCAGTCATCTCTGTAATATGGGAGTGCTGCAGCTCTTACTGGATGAAGAGGTTTGGCTGCCTGTCACTGTCAATACTCAGAGACAGGGATAGATCCACCAAACTTGATTTATCAGAAGGCTGGGATTCTGGAGAACAGTGAGAGTAGCCTCTCCAAGACTGTTCTGAGCTTCCATTTCCAACATTACAGTTTTATACATTTGTGTTCAAAGTGAAGAGCATATTAACCCTTATCTTAAATAATAATCAGCTGAACCCATGATTCATAGTAAATAATCAGTATAACTCATGATCCAAAATAATATTTGAATTCAAAAGTTAATCTTCTAAATTAGTCTGTCTAAACTACTCAAGATAGGCATCTTTAGGATGGGAGCTAAATTTACAAAACAGTAAGAATGGGAGACAAGGGGTAAAGGTCAGGCAGGACCCACACAGACCAGACCAGCTCTGTCATATCTGCCCCAGCCTGACAGACTCCATCTTATTCTCCCTATATGTGCTTTCACAGCCTCTGTCTCAGGGTAGTGATAGGATGGCAGAACCAGCTGACACACAGGACCCAGAGATGGAAGGTGAGTCCTTGTCCTCCTGGGACTGCTGGGGAAACTGATAACCTAGCATGTCGGTTTGTGCCAATGCTATGGACAGTGTGCTCCCACCCACAGTGAGAGTATCTGGCACATACCTACTGTGTGATTAGCTGATGGCCACAGGTTTTAGGACAGTGAGGTCAAGTGTTTACAGCTACGAGTTGCAGGGGAAAGAGCAGTCAGGAAGTTGGATGGGGGATGCTTGCCTTGCCCATTTCTAGCTGGTTGATTTTGCGTAAGCACTTGGCCTTGGTTTTCTGCTGTACATAATGGGGGCTGAGGGTGATAATTTATAGGGTGACTATAAGGCATTTAAGGCATCCACCCCAGTTAGGTCAGTCCTAATTCCCTTTTCTGTGCTCATGTGAGAAGCTCCTAATAAAATGCATGTGGCTCTCACTCATCTGTTTCCCTGGCAGCCTTGAACCTTCTAGCACCCAGGCCCAAGGTGGGGGCTCTGGCCCTAAACAAGGAGCTGTGTACGCTAAGTGTGCTGGCTTCCCGATGCTGGCCCTTGCAGAGCTACAGTCCTGACCCTACCTGCCAGCCTGTTATTTTTGTCCTAAAAAGTAAGTTACAGCTGATTACAGAAGTTAAAAACATCAGTTGAAAGGTTGGCAGTGGTATATCCATAGATGAGACTGGGAAAGGAGAGGTTCAGGCTAGGTTTAATGAAAGGGAGAGGGCCTAACCTGGGCAGGGGGAAAGATGCTGTCCACGTGGAGGGTGGTGGTTTTCTTTTCTTTTTTTTTTTTTTGGTTGCAGTTTGGCTGGAGCTGGGTTTGAACCTGCCACCCTTGGTATATGGGGCTGGTGCTGTACTCACTGAGCCACAGGCGCCACCCTGGTAACCCCTTTTCATATGGGGCCCTAGGGGATGGGAAAATTACACTGTGTGCAAGGGGATTTTTGTGGGCTAGGGTCTTTTGGTTTGAAGTTTTGGGGTGGGTGCCAGTAGCTAGGTCTTTTGTAGTCTTTTCATCTAGGAGAAGAGGAGGAGAAGAGTTTGTGTGGGGCACTGTTAGGCCCCCAACAATCACCCCTTCTGTGAAGTAGTCCCCTGGGGTGGGGGGGTCCTAGTTATTGTAGTTGTTGAGAAATAGTCCCAGGCCTTATGGACTTTGGGAAATGGCCACAGTGTTGCCCACTGTCATGACCCTTCCTTCTCCTAGCCCCAGTGAGGGGCCAGAAGGGGTGTTGACTCTGGGTACTCAGACCATCTGTGTCCTCAGCCTTTTAGAGGCAGGTCCCTTGGATATTTTCCTATAGGGTGTCTTGGATAGAAGTAGTAGTTATATCAGCAGTGTGGGCTGCAGTGCGCTGCAGGCTGGGTACACAAGCAGTGCATGCTTTACTTTGTCAAAGTTCTCAGTCTTCCTCTGATTTTTTTATGCATTCTCAATCCTGTGAATAAACCCCTAGCACACTAGAAAGCATTTGCTTCTTGTGTTTTTTTTCTGTCCT